TGTAATACCAGTGAATATCTACTCTCACCTTATCATGTGGGTGTAATACCAGTGAATAGCTACTCTCACCTTATCATGTGGGTGTAACACCAGTGAATAGATGTTTAAATTGAGACATCCTCTTTCCACTCTCCATTCCAGGACTCCTTGAAAAACAGTAATTGTTGCTGAGAGGACCATCCTAGCTAAATATGGATTATTTTTGGAATCTGTCTGTTTTTTTCTTCATATTAGATCTTATTTTTGTCCCCGTGAATAGTTAGGATGTGTGTAAAACCCTCTCCTTATATTTAGTGTCTGCTATTCCAATTTGTTGTTTATGACTTCTGGATGATGTCCATATAGTTAGGCTCATATCTTTGTCATAGTTTTATATCATATTGAATGACACTGCAATTTTATGTTTCTGCATATGTATCAAGATGTTCAAATAAACCTAAACTTACATCCCCCTGTCCCTCCCTTTCTCCCTGCAGGTTTGGTTTCAGAACCGCCGTGCCAAGTGGAGGAAGAGGGAGAAGTGTTGGGGTCGCAGCAGCGTGATGGCAGAGTACGGCCTGTATGGCGCCATGGTCCGTCACTCCATCCCTCTGCCTGAGTCCATCCTCAAGTCAGCCAAGGACGGCATCATGGACTCCTGTGCTCCCTGGCTACTGGGTAAGGCACTGTGCTAATGTGGGTGGGTGTGTTCATGCCTTACGTACGTGCGTGTGTGCTGGGGTCCCGTGTGGCTCAGTTGGCAGAGCATGGCGCTTGCAACGCCAGGGTTGTGGGTTCGATTCCCACGGGGGGACCAGTACGAAGGAAAATGTATGCACTCACTACTGTAAGTCGCTCTGGATAAGAGCGTCTGCTAAAATGCAAAATGTGTTAGCTTCTGCAGTACGCTTGTTTTCCATTAGTTACCATCTCATTGATCTATGCTAATCAATTGACAGATACGTCAACCAGAGAGGAGATGCAGCTTAATCCAATCTGATAAAGTAGGATTATCATTTATTGATTAAGACCCATCATTGACACTTTTATCGACTCCCGACATGCACCAGTATTAAGTCTGACGTTGAGGTCATGGCCCTGCTCAAAAAACCTTTAGAAAATCCTCCCTTCCTCAACCATGATGGAGTTAGTACAGTATGTAAGGCTGAGAACATTAAGGTGGAGAGCTTGCTTTAACTATTCCCATACCATGGTTCAAAGAGCAGTTTAAACCTCTCAGAACTGTTAGTGAAGGTGCCTTTCCCATGTTACCTCCTCACCATGGTGGAGGTCAGAAACACTAACTGACCAAGACCTGCTACCACCTGCCAGCTACAGCTCAATACAAGCTTGAGATTCTTAGTACTGTAGCGTCACTGTTTTTATACATGCGTGTCTCCAAATGGGATGAGCACAATTTCTGTTCCTAACCCGGAATAACAATGATTCCTTTTCCTTCCAGGTATGCACAAGAAGTCCATGGATACCCCTGTTCCGACCTCTCCTGGAAAACTGGAAGCTCCCCATTCCCATCCACCTGCCAGGGAACGAGAGGGGGAGAGAGTGGTAGAGGAAGTGGAGGAGGAGAGAAGGAGGGAGAATACCAGGTCGCCCATATCCAAAGAGGAACTGCGAGAGAATAGCATCGCTGCACTCAGGGCTAAAGCTCTGGAACACAGTGCTAAGATGCTGGGGACACATCCTGGTGACGGACCACTGGGAACAGTTTCAAGGGACGGAACAGGGGGACAGCAACACCCGATGGAGACAGAGGACAAACAGGCAGGAGGACAAACAGTTGGACAGTTGAAGCCTGCAGTGGAGATAGAGGCCAGTCACTGATATGGATGCTCTTCTTCTAAAGAAGTTGATGCCCTCTCTGTAAAGATCACTGTTTACATATTCCTGACGTCCATGCTATCATAAACAAGATGGTATCGGTCACAATACACAATATTCTTGGCAGCGCAAAAGTTTCACAACGTTCCTTTGACACCAAGACCTGATAATGTCAACCTCGAAATCCTCCTGTCGTGGGGATCAATTTTGTACAGATTACATTTTCCATCATGGGAATTCCAAATCCCATGCCTCAACTATACCCTGGTCTATATCAGTCCACTATTTAGTAATCTGGCAGTTTGCTACTCGGCAACTTTAGGAAGATGAACTATTTGGTTACATAGATCAGTCTCTACACTGATGTACTGGCCCATATTATTTCACGGTAATCTGCAAACCAGACAAGGTGAAAGATACATGTCATGATAAAATGCTGTGAAAAAAATATGCATGGTCTCTTGTGAAATGATGTGTAAAAACAAGAGACTAATCTTGGAGAGGATTCATGGACCTTTTTACACTAAATATTATCTTGAAATGTATGTGGTGGATTTCTCTGATATTGTCATTATTTAAAATGAAATATAGCTACTGTCATGTAGTTGGAAATCAACAAGCTGTGTTTGTTTTGTCTCCGTGTTCTGTATATTAAAATAATAATAAAGCATTATTGTCATTTACATGGAAGATTCAGGGATATTTTGTGTGTGTGTGCATTGATGAGGATTAATTAAGAATAGCCTAATTACATAAACCACATTGCATATGTCTGTCATAATAGGCTAACATTTCGATCGATACATATTGATTGATCTTGTAATATGAATACATAGGCTAATTGTTTTTTTTTTATTGTTTTTAAATATTGTAGGTTATACTACAATTGGACCAAAATAATAGCCTATAACCTAATCAACTAACAGACCGGTAGCCTAACGAAAATGAATGATTTAGGCTATATTATTATCCTTTTATTTAAAAGCTATAGCCTACAAAATAAATACATTGTGAAGCGAGTGAGACACAATAGATTGGCAGGGACATTAAGCGCTAAGCATTTAAACAGTTCGTTGTATTAAATCATAGTCTATAAATTGCGGCTAGGCAGTGACTTAATTAGAATTAAATAAAAATGAAACGAAAAATATCCTTTGTGCCTTTGAATTCATTTTTTAGAAACAAAAGTTTGGCCAGAGTATGTGGCTTCAGGATCATGTGATGGTGCCTGGAGAGCAGGCCAGCAGCGGAGAAAAACCCTCTCCCGGCTTGCCGTCCACTGGGGATGCTAAACACCCTTTGGGCCACTCTTGCACGGCTGGGCAGTTGTTTAAAAACATTCTATAGGTAGGCCTAAATGTTTTGGGGCAAAATAACCCAATCAAATTGGAAAGCTCCTTGAAAGAGGTCATATGTCAGCCTGTTGGGCCAAAATCAATGATAGTCTATTGTATAGATAATAGAACGAAAATGAACGGAACTTCTAAGAGATCAGATGTGTTGTTTATACTTTGATACAATGACACACTTAGCTAGCTACCCACCTCGTTCATTTCTGTTAGCAAGTGCACGTAGAACACGATCATGCTTTCGGGATACGTAGGCCTTGGTGTCTTTTCAGATTCCACATTGATTCTTTAGTTGTGGACACTACATCACCGCACTCCCTCTCTTGCTCTTGGTCCTCGTCTTTGTAAGTCACCTTTATTTTGCACCTGTGTGTTTTATCAGTTTCTTTATGAAAATATTCAGCGAACTCCCGTGACAGTAGCTAAAGCAAGGGTCTATAGCAGCACATAAGTAGCCTACATATGAATGCTGGGCCAGGCATGCCCTGAGCTCATGGAGTGAAGTGAGCGCTACTGGAGCGGTACTGGAGCGAAATTGGAGCGGGCGAGAAGGCCGACGCTCCAGCCTTTGGGAAACTCGCTCTGAGCTCCAGTCAAATTCGGCACGCTCCGCTCACATACTCTGCTGGGTTGAGAAGTCTCTGTGGTTAATCCCGGGCTTCAATGGCAAAATTGAGTTTGTCTTCCTCTCAAGTGCGGAATGAATCCATGATTGAAACATGATTGAGTAGTGGTTGACTTTCCCTTGTGTTGTGAATACGGGACATTGAGATATTTTACTGCATGATTATGCTTGAAGTTGAAAAGGAAATGGAATGAGAGAACAGTTTTTATGGTCAGCACTATATAAAGCTGACCATGACTGTCCTTCGTCCTTCTGCTCCAGCCCAGTCCAACACGGTCATCACGGTCAACCAGGGTGTGAAGGGAGGCATGGTGGTGGTCGACCTGAAGGGAACCGTGGTCCAGGCGGTCCAGAATTGTCCCTAAGTCCAACAGGTCCTGGTTGCCATGAGAACAGAGAACACCGTTGCCATGACAGACAGAGATGTTCCACTCGAGGAGGTGAGTCTAGAGACACAGCTTTTTATGAAGATGTTATTATTGTTTATTGATACATTCTTAGATACTTCAAAATGATTATTTACTGTTAAACCTTTGACTAAGTGCGTTTATACACATAGTTCTGAGCTATAGTTTGAATCAGAGGTCGACTATTTGTTATATTGTAGGCAATTTCTTTCATTTGGTCCGGTTGGTTTTACACTCAAATTGTCAAACCAACTAAAATTCCTTTACAACCACGTGTCCATGCACGTCATTTGTTTATTGGAAAACATGCTCAAGTTAAATCCATTTATGATTATCATTAAGCATCACTTTTGTCCCAATCTTCATATTGCTTTTCGCTTTGGTCTTTCAACAACATGCGGGAGGAAATAGCGCAATAGCCGATCTAAATGCGACGTGAATACGCTATATTCAGTAGCCTATGTCCCCGGTATAGCCCCGCTCTCTCCCCTAATCTGCTTCGGATGAGCTCATAAATACGCTGATACTCACAGCATGTTTCAGAGATCTCAAATTATGATGCTGCATGCATTTCATCAAATCAATCAAAAAACCAATAATAATGCACCACTCCATTTATTTTCTTGTGTTTCAGCCTGGTCTCATAGACTCTACATAACACAGTAAGTGTAAATCCGGGACACTCAAATTAGTATGATACACTACATGACCAAAAGTATGTGGACACGTGCTCATATAACATCTAATTCCAAAATCATGGGCATTAATATGGAGTTGGTCCCCCCCTTTGCTGCTATAACAGCCTCCACTCTTCTGGGAAGGCTTTCCACTAGATATTGGAACATTGCTGGGGGGACTTGCTTCCATTCAGCCACAAGAGCATTAGTGAGGTTGGGCACTGATGTTGGGCGATTAGGCCTGGCTCACAGTCGGCGTTCCAGTTCATCCCAAGGTGTTCGATGGGGTTGAGGTCAGGGCTCTGTGCAGGCCAGTCAAGTTCTTCCACACTGAACTCAACAAACCATTTCTGTATGGACCTCGCTTTGTGCATGGGGGCATTGTCATGCTGAAACAGGAAAGGGCCTTCCCCAAACTATTGCCACAAAGTTGAAAGCACAGAATGTCATTGTATGCTGTAGCGTTAAGATTTCCCTTCACTGGAACTAAGGGGCCTAGCCCGAACCATGAAAAACAGACCCAGACCATTATTCCTCCTCCACCAAACTTTACAGTTGGCACTATGCATTGGAGCAGGTAGGGTTCTCCTGGCATCCGCCAAACCCAGATTTGTCCGTCGGACTGCCAGATGGTAAAGCGTGATTCCTACCTCCAGAGAACGCGTTTCTACTGCTCCAGAGTCCAATGGCAGTGAGCTTTACACCACTCCAGCCGACGCTTGGCATTGAGCATGGTGATCTTAGGCTTGTGTGCTGCTGCTCGGCCATGGAAACCCATTTCATGAAGCTCCCGACAGTTTGGAACTCATAATGAGTGTTGCAACCGAGGACAGAAATTTTTTAAGCGCTGCGCACTTCAGCACTCGGCGGTCCAGTCCTGTGAGCTTGTGTGGCCTACCACTTCGCGGCTGAGCCGTTGTTGCTCCTAGACGTTTCCACTTCACAATAACAGCACTTACAGTTGACCGGGGCAGCTCTAGCAGGCCAGAAATTTGACGAACTGACTTGTTGGAATGGTGGGATCTTATGACGGTGCCTCGTTGAAAGTCACTGAGCTCTTCAATAAGGCCATTCTACTGCCAATGTTTGTCTATGGAGATTGCATGGCTGTGTGCTCGATGTTATACACCTGTCAGCAACGGGTGTGGCTGAAATAGTAAAATCCACTAATTTGAAGGGGTGTCCACATACTTTTGTATATATAGTGTAACTTGCAAACAAACACTTCTCAGCAATTAATTTCACTCTCTTTCTTTCTGACTGTAAATCGCTCTGGATAAGAGCTGTCTGCTAAAATACTAAATGTAAATGTAAAATGTTCTCTCTCTTTCTCTCTGACCATGCTCGTGGGCTCACCACCAGTTACACTAGTACATTAGCTAGTAATTCCTCACACACCTCCATTGAATAGGAAGCTATATAATTTGCTGCATTTTAACTTATTCTATCATTATGTCAGTGAAAAGTAGCCTACAATAACAGGCCTGTAACCAATGTTCTTCCACAAAAAGAGCTTACTGCTAGGCTATAATAGCATGTTTTAAAGTCAAAGCTGATTTCGCACATAAAAAGGATAATTTCGAGGGTAATCTACCTAAAATTCAGATTGACCCTATATATTTCATCCCTCAATCCCGTCCAATTACATTAATTGAGTAATTACCAAAATGCATCGGAATAACGTTAATTAACCCACAAGCGGCAAATTAAGGGGGCAATCTAGGATTGGTACATCCATTTTTGGACTTAAATTAATAAAGTATTGCCATTCATTTTGTTGTTGTTTGAATGGCAGATTGCCTTTTTAATATTCATAATTAAACATGCATCGTTTAGCGTGGAGCATTACAGGCATAGATATGACCCAAATACCCTACTTCAGAACAGAGGATTATGTCGTTATGTTATTTAGTCTCTGAGCCTTTCCAATTAGGACTAAATGGCATTATTGGTAATTGCTGGCAGTTTGATCTATGTGCAAAATAGCCCATTAGAGGGGTAAATCAAGGGATTTGACTGGCTGTCTGGCTGTCTGATTGGCTGGCTGGTTTGGCACCACGCCCCTGTGTGGGATGTTAATCGGTGGTGTCCTAGTTGTACAGAGTCCCAAATGGCACCCTATTGTAGTGGGTCCTGGTCAAATGTAGTGCACTATAAAGGGGATAGGGTGTTATTTGGGACTTATCCCTCTGGCAGCCCAGATCCACACCAGCCAGATTAGCAGGATAGTGCCCCCCCCCGCCTCTACCGCTAGATTAGCCAGCAAGGACCCTGCCCCAGACCAGATCAGATTAGCATGGCCTGGTCGAGAGAGAGAGTCAAACCTAATTGCATTTAATTTACTTAACATGGCGGTAATTCGCCCATCGACATCTGTAGCAAAGAAGTCAGGGTTTATTATGCGGACGGACTGGTTATTTACAAAAGCTTATTCTCTGTTTTCTTCTCTCCTTTCTCCTCATCAACCTTTACATCCTTTTACTTTCTGAAGTGTTTAAATTCTGTAGTATTTAGCAATCATAATAAGAGTCTGGTAGCAGCAGTGGTGATTTGTGTGTAGCACAAGTGTGTGTGTGTGTCAGGGTTTCCGTTAGCCGCTAATAGCCAGCTTTTGGCTGATAAAT